GTGGGTTCGAGTCCCCGCACGTGTCACATGTGTGGACACACCCTGCCCACGCGCGTGGTGCAAGGCACAGGCCGCGGGGGCGACAGACACCACCCGGTTGCACCCTGGGCTTGCACCCTGCAGGGTTCTCCGCAGCAGCCGCAGCAGCAAAACAAAGCCGCCACCGTCATCCAGGCGGCCTGGAGGGGGTGCAGGGTCCGCCGGCGGCTGAGACAGCAGCAGATGGCCGCCAAGAGGGTTCAAGCCACCTGGCGAGGCCACTACACACGGAATTGCCTGACAACCCACGCGCTCCTGGGACCAATTGGCCAGTGGGACAGTCCCCCGCAGTGTTGGCCGGGCGTCTAGGGCCCTGGCGACTGGACTGGACTAGGGTGGGGGACTCTTCCGGCCGAGCCATGTGGCTGTCTGCATCTAATGAATAAAGTCCTCCGTGGCCTGGATCTTCTTGGCTATCAGTCTGGATTAATGGTGGGACCAGCAGTTGGTGTAATGGCTGTGTCGCTGGACTCCCACGTAGGCGACCACGGTTCGAGTCCCGCACCCGGTGGGTTAAACTCACGCCGGGCGCGTGTGCGTGCGTGCCCAAGATCCCAAGAGGAGAATGGAGGAGAAGGGATTGTGGCGTGGCCATCCCCCCTGGGGGGTGGTTTCTCACTTTCTGTCTCTCTGTCTCTCTCTGTCTCTCTGGCGAGTGCAAGCACCCTATGCATCTCAGTTATGGAGGTGCACATGGGATCCCGGAACCAGGCTCTCAGTAAGAGCTTACACCCTCCACCTCCTCTTCTTTCAAAGCCCATTGATTTTTCTCTGTTCAATTTATTTTTATTATTATTATTATTATTATTATACATGCAATCGCTATGCATCATTTAGATTGTAAAGAGATTTTCCCCGGTATGGGACCAGCAGATGGCGTAGTGGCTATGTTGCTGGACTCCCATGTCGACCGTGGTTCGAGTCCTGGACCCGGTGGCTTAAACTCACGCCGGTTGCGTGTGCGTGTGTGCCCAAGATCCCGAGAGGAGAATGGAGGAGAAGGGATTGCGGCGTGGCCATCCCCCTGGGGTGTGATTTCTCGCTTTCTGTCTCTCTGTCTCTCTGTCTTTCTGGCGAGCACACACACCCTATAGCAAAAACCTCTCCCCTCGCAAAAAAAAAAAAAAAAAAAAAAGTCTAACCATGCAGTTTACCTTTGGGGTCTGTGGCCAGGATGGGGACCCCAAGTCTTTCCGGGAGGTCAGGGGCCTCCACTATGGTCTAACACGGGCCCCCATATCCCTCACAGCTGGTGGAATGGTGTCTAGTCAGTTCTAGACTGAAGCTGTCATCACAGGCCAGCATCTGGGGACCTGGCCCGGAGTGTTCACTTCAAGTCCCTCAGCCCTAGAAAGTCCTACAGAGGAAGCCAGCAGGTGGCATGGCGGTTAAGGGTGCTGGATTCCCACGTGGCCAACTGTGGTTCGAGTCCAGACCTGGCGGCTTGCTTTTTCACTTTCTTTCTCTATCCCTCTCTGGTCAAATTAAAATACATAAATACATTTTTAAAAAAGAAAAAGAAAATTCTACAGGGAGCTGGCAGGTGGCATGGTGGTTAAGGGTGTTGGACTCCCACATGGCCACTGGGGTTTGAGTCCTGGACCTGGCAGCTGACTTTCTCACTTTTCCTCTCTCCCTCTCTGTCTGTCTCTGGTCAAATTGAATCATAAATAAATAAATAAATAGTTTTTTTTTTTTTAAAAAAAGACAATCTTACAGGGCCTTTCATTCATAGATGTCTCACTCCACAAATGCTAGAAAGTTCTAGTCATGTCGTGATTTGGCGTACGCTGGCCCCTATGGGTTCATGCTGTCTGGATGAGACAGAATGAGATAAAGACGTCCTTAGATATAGGCCAGCAGGTGGCGTGGTGGTTAAGGTGGCTGGATCCCACATAGTCAAGTGCACGGCGGTTCAAGTCCCAGACCTGGTGGAGGGAGAGATTGGAGGGAGGAGGGATTGTGGCATGGCCATTCCCCCAGGGGGTAGGTGATTTCTCTCTCTCTCTCTCTCTCTCTCTCTCTCTCTGTCTCTCTGTAGTGAATATAGGAAAAACTTAAAAAAAAAAAAAAAAAAAAGACCAGTAGGTGGTATAGCGCTTAAGATGTTGGATTTCCACATGACCAACCGTGGTTCGAGTCCCAGACCCGGAGGCTTGAAAATCATGCCGGGTCCATGTGCATGCATGTCCCAAATCCCAGCTGAATAGAAGGGAAGGGATTGCAGTGTAGCCATCCCCTCCTGGGGTGGGGGGTGATTTCTCACTTTCCCTCTCTCTGTCTCTCTGGCAAGCACATGCACCCTATACAAAAAAATAAAATCTCAGGACCAGCAGGTGGTGTGTGGTGGATAAGGGCGCTGGATTCCCACATGGCCAACCATGGTTCAAGTCCCGGACCTGGTGGCTTGCTTTCTCACTTTCCCTCTCTCTCTCGCTCTCTCTCTCTCTCATCAAATAAAGAAACTAATAATAACAAATGGAAATAAATAATTATTTGTTTAAAAATAAACACATAAAATAAAATCTTTCCAAGAGACCAGCAGTTGGTGTAATGGCTATGTCGCTGGACTCTCATGGAGTCGACCACGGTTCGAGTCCAGGACCCGGTGGCTTAAACTCACGCCGGATGCGTGTGCGTGCGTGCCCAAGATCCCGAGAGGAGAATGGAAGAGAAGGGATTGTGGTGTGGCCATCCCCCCTGGGGGGGGGGTGATTTCTCACTTTCTGTCTCTCTGTCTCTCTCTCTCTTTCTGGCCAGCACACGTGCCCTCTCCACCCCCCTCCCCCAAAAAAATCTCTCCAAAAACCCCCACACTTCCCCTAGGAGGCAGGTGTGGCGTCAGGAGGAGATGACAGTCTGAGGGGTTCAGACTGGGTGTCTAAGAGGGGTGAAAGTCTACGTGGAGAGAGATTTCAAGA